ATCTTTCTAAAAGACCATTCTGTAACTTCAAGCATGGCTTTTTTTGAGCTGAATCAGGAGTTAATAGATGGAAATTCTGCACTGCGCAGAAGCAATGCAGCCTCTAGTCCACTTTGGCTGTGAATAACCTCACAGGTAAGAAATGGGATTGGAAATGGGAAAAGAACAAAAACCTAACTGCTCTGCTCTTCATGGTAGTAACTCAGTTCTTCCACTGATGGTTTGGGTTTTTTTCCCTGCTGAAAGCAAGCAGCGTCCATTGAGTGTGCCTTGACTAGATGTGGTTTGTGAGCAGGCAAAGCCCAGCTCCTTTGCAGGGACTACTTTACGAAGGGGACAGCGGGGCTGGGAGTGGAGGTGCTGAATGATGGTTTCCTCTGGAAGGAAATGAGATGACAGGAGCAGCTGAGGAACAAATGGGTTCCTTGCACAGCATTGCTACTGCCTCCTTGTCAGCTGCTCCTGGAGGTCTTCTTTCCTGTTGCTTTCATGTATTTATCCACAGGAATATTCTAGTATGTGAGTCCATAAGGCTGGTTATCCCTTAAAATCTAGCCCATCTCCACTCTTGCTTTTCCTAGAGGATTTCTTTAAGGAGAAAACACGTTTAAATTGTACAATAGAAAAGAGCACCTTCCTTCAGGAGTGAAAGGAGTGCCCAGGACCACAATGCTAAGGTGATGATTTACCAGGAAGAAAGCTTGGGCATAAAATAATCATGGCCATGGCAGCTACTTCAGTATCTGCTAATGTGCATACTTGCTCTATGGTAAATACAGCACAGTGAATGCAGTTCTGTGATTGCTGCAGAGCACGCATTTAGCCCTTCACATTTCTTCCTGAGGAAAAAAGCTTGATTTTTAGGGTGACTGTCTATATTCACTGACTTTTTTTTGTGTATCTATTCAGAGGCTGTTATCCAAGGAACTTGAGTTTAGTGTAATGTCTGAGTACACCCTAAGGCTTTGTCTCCATGCAGGTAACTAAGGCAGCTATAAAACTGGAGAGGTATGTTCATTCCTGTGAGCTATTCAGCTGAGCCACCATGACTTTTCTTGCATTCTCTGCCATTCCTCTGTGCTGTCTGTCTCTTCTCAACCCCTCTTCAAGAGCATAACACTTCTCATTGCAGCTTTGGCTGTCCTGGACTTCCCTTGATCTGATCAGACTTAATTTCTGTACTCACTGCTTCAGCATGGGTTCTGTCTCTCAGAGTAGATTTCAAGGTATATTTCTTATGGTTGGAGGTCGTCATTCTTGATGGCACAGTTACCTAGATCTTTTTAGGTACTCAACTTAGTTTTAGCATCTGAACGTCATGTTTGGTTTGGCTTTTGTCCCTCAGGAGTAGAATGGATCTATTTGTCCATCAGGAGCATCCATTAATATGAGGAAGGAGTCTGCCAGGAACAACTTAGTTGGCCAAAGAGGTCAAAAAAAGATTTTTTTTTTTTTTTTAGCCAGGGTAGAGAGACACCTCAGTGACTTAGCTTAGCTTTACTGTCTATAACTTGGGATTCTACGGAAAATAGCAAAGATGTCACTTCTTCCTATTTAATTCATAATTTATTTGGTGAAGATACTGACATTCCACCCCCAAGCTGAGGATTTTCCTGTTTTAGTGGAATTTTTTCTCATTCAACTATGATTAGATCTTTAAAAACATACTAGACTTCTCCCCCGCTCCCCCAGCCCCCCACCAGTAATGATCTGTTTCTATAGTAGGTTTGAATCTGCCCTTAATGGAAGACTCTTGAAATATTTAGTAACATTTTCCCTCTGTTGTCTGTTCCCCAAATAGCCTTTTTGTCTTTTCTTCTAGAGCAGTAGGAGCGAGCAAGTCTGTAATAGTCTACAAAAGGGAAAATCAGCTGCCTTTAAGGAGTTTATCCTTGAATTTAATCTCAGTGTACTTGTTTGATGTTACCTTGAGGAGCAAAGAGATGCAATGTTTCATCTGAAGGTTGATTAGTTTCTTAATTATGCATGGTGTGGCATTTCTTTCTGTGCGTTTGCATTTGAGATTGCTTGCATGGTTGGTTGTTAGGTGTGCTGTATCAAGTTATATTGACTAAATAACAGCTTCTTGCAAGAACTCTTTATCTTTTTTGTGCTGACTAAAGAGAGACCAGAGGGTTATCAGTTATGGAAAACTAAAGGTGTGAGAACATGTGATTTAATCACTTAAAAAATACTTGCTGGATTAATTAGGGTTTATTCAACCAGAGCTAAGCCACACAAAAATGGCTTCTCATATGGAATTTGTCAGCTGCTGAGATCCACAGAACTGCTGACTGGAGTTGAGATTACCCTTTTAATAAATGCTGTGTCTTTATTTGGTCTTCCACAGTGCTATGGGACCTTGAGGATGGCAGGTCTGATTCCTGAACCCTGATTCCTGAACCCTTCTCCATGTTTACTGATTTTTGGCTACTACCTAGAAGTGTCCACAGTGTGTGTATGTAGGCAAACATTTGAAGAAAAGTGAAAAGACACCTGTAAATGCTTTTTGAGAGGTGTTGTCTATATATACATTCCTAACCACTCTCTTACCCTGTTCCCCAATGCCTCGGAAAGAAATGTGGACCCTTTGGTTGAAAGAAACTGAGTGGGAATAGTATATCCCACCCCTTTTATGGCCTGTGGGCGATACGCGTAGGGGCAAGAGCTTACCCCAGAGCTTTCTTGGACACTTCAGAAATAGATTTTCTGATTTGAATAGTGCTTTCATATAAGTACACAAGATAAAACACCTGAGAGGGCAGTTTAAGTGATCCATTTCCCTTTGCTGTACAGCATTTAGTGTGTATCAGCAACTGTCTGCAAGCTTGGTGATGATCACTCTTGACATTCTTCAGTAGTGTATCCAGTGTTAATATTATTGTCTCCCCCTTGTTTAGCAGCAGATTTTAAGGTTTCTTTTCCACCCACTCATGTACCAGATTTCACATGAACTACAGAGAAGAGGAGAATTTTACTTAGCCTTTTGGCAATCATCCCACTTGGGGGCTTTCATTTGCCAGTGATAAGCACAACATGTATTGCAGAAGTACATGCAAATGAATATTATGCAAACTATTCTTTTCTAGGTGCTCTCAGTTACGTTAGGAACAGGCACGCCTTCCCATGTGGTTAGGCCCCAGCGTATGTGTTTTCCGTTAGCAAAGATGATAAACTCTGATGCCTTGTATGTTTTTTTTTTTTTCTTTACAGAAACTTGTATCAGGTGAACATCATAAGAAGAGCAGGCTGGTACCTCATAAGCTACCAGCAGCTTCTTTATAATTGCTGAGAGTAGCACCGAGTATCAGCTATCCAAGAATTGGTTGATAGTGCTCCCTTAAGGAGTAGTGTTCTTCCATCAGTTTCATCCTCAAAAAAAATTCCCCAAACTATCAATATAGAAGCTGTCCACATAAACTCTCTTACTCTATCAGTTCCTAGAGACCCACTGATTCTAGTGAGTCTTCTGAATGGTGAATTCCCCCTAGTTTGGGGGCTTGGTCTTAATTTCCAGATCCTGGGATTCTGTACCTCAAGAACAGGTGTTATATGATATCAATTGTATAGGTCCAAAGCATTTTCAAGTCTTAAAGGTTTGATAGTGTCTGTGAAATCTGACTGTCAGACGACTTTATTTTAGGAAAAACTAAAGTGTGAGCTCTCATTCCTAAGTAGCATCTCAAAGCTGAAATGAGAGGAGAGAATTTTAGTGAAGAAAAATGGAGTGTGGAGTAGCTGTACCTTTTTTGTGTATTTTGTGTAAGAAACAAATGTATTCAACAGTTTTGCAGAGGATAATTTGGCTTTTAGTGGGAGTTTTATTAAATTTTCTGTACTGGCAAATGCTCTAAGTTTCATGTAAATGTTATAGTCTAATAGCAATTAATTTATATTAGGCTTCCCTTCTTTGATATGCTGCTTCATGATAAAAATAATGCACTGGCTTCTGTAGGTTTTGAGACTTCCTTTTACAAAACTCCGTTTCTCCCTCTGCTGAAGAAGACAAGCTTTATAGGCTTTGTTTGCTTTCCTTCCCCTTCTCTTCCTCCTTCCTCCTACACTTCAGGTGTGTGGGTTTTGATTTGTGTGAGGGGTTTTTTTCTGCCAGCTAGTCTCTGCACCAAGTGTCTGGAGTCGACTGCACTTAACTAGTCAATGCTTTCTCAAAGTGTAGCCTTAAAATCAAGGAGCTAAGCGGAATGCTAAGCTATTAATCCAACTTACTGACAGATGAACTTGACAAATTGATGCAGTAGTTAGAGATATGTCTGCTCTACACTCTTTACCTCCACAACAGCATCAGCAGAAGGGTATATGCATGATTACCTTCACCAGAAGCTTATGCTGAGAGAGTAGGTCTACAGGGAGATGCCAGACAGTTCCCTGGCAGATGTTTGTTTCCTTCCCTCGTCTTCACTGTGAATGAGTTAAGCTCTGACAGGGAAGCTGAGCAGGTTGCTGGCCCTAACTCCCGAACTGTCACACCAATAGTGGCAGTGTGGGTGGACAATTTATGATTTGCTTTTTAGTAAAGCCGCTAATCTGAGTTTGATAAAATAAGCATTTGAAAAAAACCTAATCCTTGACTTTTGAGTTTGTTTTAATTGTGCTAATTAGTCCATGGCTTTATGTAATTAATAGTTCACATGCACCATACTTACGGTGTTGGTGTAAAGTAATTACCATGGGTAAGAGTGCTTCCTAACACTGTTGGAAAAAATAATTTAATTTCCCTTAGGAAATGTAACACACTTATTAGTATGCATTGGTGTAACATTGCTGGAAAGCTGATCAGTTCTTCCAGGTGCTTACTGCATTTAAGAGCTGTGTAGCTGGGAACATAAGATTTGGCAGCTGCTCCTAAATTGAACGAGTAAAGTGCTCAATGCAAACTCATAGCCTATCAGCAGGAGATCAAAGACTTCAAGAAGAAAGTACCTGGTCGTTGCTCATTTCTTCAGCAATTTCTTCTTTACTTTTGTCTTTATACAATGTAGGCAAACAATGCCAGTGATCCTTGGTCCAGCTGGAATGTTGGGAAGTCTGGGAACTGGGATAATGGAAATGCTGTTGACAGTTGGGCAACGAAACCTGAAAGTGCAGCTGGCCAGAGAAACAGTGCTTCAAATAACTGGGAGACGGCAGCAACATTTGGTCATCCACAGGCATATCAAGGACCAGGTGTGCTAATAATGCTCTTATTTTTGAATACATTAGAGTAGGTGGACAGTAGAGGTAAGAATTGCTTAGTTTTCATAACTATAGAACATGGCTTATTTAAAAAACAAAACAAAACCAGCTTCCTAGGAGCACATTGCCACGTGGGTAAACTGGACACTAGAATAATAGTGTTTTTAAGTAAAACTTAAAAAAAAATCAGAGCCATAGTAACAGACACCTCAAACTTGTATGGAAATCTGGCAAGTCAAAGTCTTGTGCATACATGATCTCTTCTCAGGCATGTTGTGCAGCTTGCATAACTGGAATTTAAACACCCTTGAATTTGTGCCCTCAGGCTTGTGAAGAAGTCGTCTCTTAAATCCTTAATTTTAGGAAGTGGCTAGCCTTTCAGAAGGCTTCTTTACCTTTTTGTAGTAAACGCCTAAATTAGGAGGAGAACTCATAACTGGGGAATGCTAACATGGAGTCTATGAATATGGAACACTATTGAATTCATCTTAACACACCAGCATCCCTTCTTTCTTTTTTTTTTTTTTTTTTTTTCTTTTTTTTTTTTCCCTCTCCCCAGATGGATTTCTAGTGTAGTGTTTTGCAGGTTGTATTTGGTGGGGATGATGGTAGTTGAGGAGAAATCATAAAATAGAAGGCTGAACTAGCCTTCTATATTTCTAAATAAAAATATATTTACCTTGTTGATTATTTGTGTGTGAGTGCTGAGGTAGCTGCTTCTGCTTTCAAAGAGAAAATATTTAACTTTCTCCTTTCCCTATCCCCCTGCCTGCTCCTGTACTTCAGCAGCTGCTGATGACGATGATTGGGATGATGACTGGGATGACCCAAAATCAGCTTCGCCATCTTACCTTGGTTACAAGGAGACTGAGGCATCAGAGGCTGGGGGGGTCCAGCGTGGAAATTCTCGTGCAGCTGCTATGAAGTTACCACTTAACAAGTAATGGAAAATGTGGGGCAAATGTGTATATATTGAAGAGAATTGGAATTTGTCAAGATGTGTAAATATGTGACCATTCAACCTTCTTGAAATACGCAGTGTAAATATTAATTTTGGGGTAAAAGTGGAGATGGATTTGTAGCTCAGCATTCGCCCTGTGTGACCAGAGAACACAGATCGATGAAAGCCTGAAATTACGTGACAAAGCTGTATAATTTTTGGAGATCTTATACAGGCAAATGACACTTTTGCAAGGTCTGAACTTCTGGACCTACTGGTCTTTAAAATCTGTCTTTAATGCTATGTGTGCTTAATGAAAATGAAAGGTGATGGGTGGCTTGTCCATACAGCGAGAGTGATCAGACATGCTGCCCCAGAGTTCGTGAGCAATTTGAGTTGCTAGGGGTGGGGAAAAGTTCTGTTCTCCTGTGTCTGTGCATCACCCAGGTTGATTCTTGAGCCACTGAAAGCTTGATTTTTTTAGATAAAAATCTTACAATAGCATGAAGCTTTGTCAGGGTTATACTAGCATTATCTCATGTTACAACTTAATGTTTTTTTATTCTAAAACTACTGTTACTCTGAAGAGCTACTGTGTGGTAATCTTTAAGTGGATGAAACCAGGGTGGAAAAGGATTGTAGAATAATGGTCTCCTTGGGTAGGTAACTAAAATTAACAACTAGAGATGCAGAGACAGTTGATTTTGTTCATCAGTGGAGGTTTTGTCCAGTTCTGCAACAGTACCTTTGCATCGTTGTGGCATCTACTTGTTGCAAACCCATTTAGTATAACCAGCATAAACATACCTTATTTAAGAGCGTTACTTGTCTGTGAAGTAAGTCCTACTTTGCTCCTTGTGTTTCTGCAAGCAGGCAGTAGGTTGGTAGTACTTGAAGGGCCAAGTATCTTCCTAACTAGAAAAAGAACCACCATGTGCTTTTTGCAAGACTTTTTACACAGACTTTAAGGATATTACAGTGATTTCTGTGTGGTTTTCTTTCTAATTGGTGGATAAATTATTTAACATAACTCATGTTTAGAAGCACTTGATAAATCTGCAGTTCATCGTTCTTTCAGACGGTTGACTTCTCATCATCTGAAACGGCAGGATGGTGTGCATGAGCATGTGTGTGTGTGCATTTCCAGAGAGGGTGGACTGCAGTGGAGTGGCAGATGTTACTTTGTGTCCTCTGTTATGTTTGCTCTAATGGGCTGCAGAGCACAGGTAGGTGCTCTGCCTTGGAAGAAGGGGCCTGTATAACACAAATAAAAGCTGGAGGTCAGTAGCTAAAGCTTTTCTGCTTTTTCAGGGTGAACTGTTGGTTTTTTAAGTAATCCACATAAATTCTTTTATATACTTGAGAAATGCTAAGGGTTTTTTCTTATAGTGGCAGGTAATTCTGCATACGTCAAAGGAAGGAAAATACAGGATAAACTTTATCACTTTGTTTGTTAGATTTCCGGGATTTGCAAAACCTGGGATGGAACAGTATCTGTTGGCAAAGCAGCTAGCAAAACCCAAAGAGAAGATTCCCATAATTGTAAGTCGGGGACGTGTGTAGTTTTTGTGTGTGGGTGGTGTGGTTTGTTTTGGGGTTGGGGTTTTTTGTTTTGGTTTTTTTTTTGTGGTTTGGTGGGGGGTTTTTTGGTGTGTTGTTTTGTTTTGTTTTTTTTAAATCCTCCCCACCTTTCCCTTTTTCCCCAACTTAACTTTTAGCCTCAGTGTTGCTATATGTATTTGGGTAAAAAGAAACTGATTCTGGACATATAATTAGAACTAGAACTGTCATAATAAAACTGTGTACCATTTAAGTATTTTAAAGTTGTGGTAGACTACGTTTCAGAGTCATATATCACTGAGGGATTTTTCAGGGTCAAGTCTTAACTCCTTCTTTCTTCTAAGTGTTCTGATTCTTTTTTTTTTCCCCAGTACTTTTTTTTTCTCATGCTGGATCTGCATTACCTGTGATCATTATAATAAGCCTTTTTGGGAGAGGGAGGCAGAGCAAATGCATTACACTGTCTATTATTTATCTAGTTAGTTATCTAATACACAGGAGCTACATTCATAAAGGTTTGCAATATTCAGTCATGATGGTCGGGTCATCTGATCTAAAAACCAAACTCTTCTAGATATATGCTGTTCTAGTGAAATGTGGTTGAAGTAGCAATCCCTAGAATTCACCACTCTTTTTTTGCTATTTGGGAAAAATTGTAAAATACAGAATAAGATAAACACAACCGTGGTCAATTATCTCTGGTTGTGAGAAACCCCTCTATTTCCTGACTATCAAGCTCTCGCTGAAAGCAATTGGAAACTTTCAAGTGGAGAGAGAAGGTATTTGCCTCCTTGTTTGCAGCTGGTACAACATGATGTATTTAAAGATAATATTTGCAATTTCTTACAGATTGGTGATTATGGCCCAATGTGGGTCTATCCTGCCTCTACATTTGACTGTGTGGTGGCAGATCCCAAAAAAGGTTCTAAAATGTATGGTCTCAAGAGCTACATTGAATATCAGCTGACCTGCACTGTAAGTGTATCTGAAACGGGATCTTCTTTCTCACAAATATGGGTTATTTGTACATATAAATAATACCGTTTGTGTGACTTGGTAACAGGGTTGTAAGAGTAAGTGGTAGTTGTCACACTTTTTTCCCCAAAGAGTTACTTTGTGTTAGCATTTCAAGTTCTTCTGTAATTACAGATTCAAGGCTCTAAATCATACATTTTATTTACATTCCACCTATTTACTATTGTGGTCACACTTGTTTCATGTCATTATCTGTAGATGCCTGTCAAAATTCAGAGTTGTGTTTCTCTTACAGAACACTAATCGGTCTGTCAACCACAGATACAAGCACTTTGACTGGTTGTATGAGCGTCTCCTGGTTAAATTTGGATTAGCCATTCCAATCCCATCTCTTCCAGACAAGCAAGTAACAGGTAATCATTCTCAATTGTGAATTCATGGGATGGGAAATGAGGAGATCACTTTTTTACAAATTTCAGTTATTTCTTACTATTTGTTTTTCACATTATTTTTAAAGAAGGTATCAAAAAACCCCCAAGCTTTCACCGTTCAAAACTTATGATGAGTTGTGATGGCCTATCAGCACCAAGAGCATCATTTCAGAACTCAAGTTTACTTATCTAGTCCAGTGATTTAAAAACAAAACAAACAAAAGAACCCTCTAGTTACTACAGAAGAGAATATTTGTTACTGGAGAGAAGAGATAACTACTTATGTTCCATATTTGCTGATTGTCTGGAGAAATGGTTTTTGAGGGATTTTGGGGGAAACGGGGTGTTGTGTTTTTCTTCTGCATTTGACTGTAAATGTGTTATATTGTAGGAGCTTTGAAGCAAAGCTCTCGGAAGAAAGGGAGCATCCCCTGACAAACTGGGATTTTTTGCTCACAAGTGAAATGTTGCAGCTGTTTCTCCTGTTGTTCGATTTCACACTTGATTTAGAAAGCATCTTTCATTTGTATAACATTCTGATCTGGTTAGATGTCAGTTCAGCTTGACCAAACTCTCTGAAGCTTATGGAAGTCTTTTGTTCTGACTTCAAGAAAAGTGGGATTGGACCCCTTAAATGCTCATGAGTTCAGTCATTGCAATTGAATATGGCAATGCCTGTGCATCTTCAGTAGTCTCTGGCTTCCTTCCTACAAAGGTGTGCTGCAGTGCATGTAAAGAAAAGAATGGACACCTCTATAGGAGGAAAATGCATTACTTTTGCCTATTTCCACTTGTGTGTTTTCTGGTAAGATTTTTATACAGCCTTTGAGCCAACCAGGCAAAAACAGCCATACAAAAGCTGGCATGTCTCCAACCAGTGGCTGTGGGCATCACTGAAAATGCAGCAGCTTCTGTGTTTGAAGAAAGCTAAGCATTGATGCAGATGCTGGGAAAAATGCTGAGGAAACTGAAAAGTGAGGAAGCTACTTCCTCCCCTCCCCTTAGTCTCATTTTTAGAATTCGATAGTATTTTTGCTTAAACATGTGCATGTGGACTAAAAGGAAACCAGAAGACCTGATGGGATCTCTACATTTTATTGTAACTGTATTTTAAAGGACTCCAGAGTTTGGTATCACAGTTAAACCTTGCCTGTGGATTTCAGTCTTCTGGAGTCTGTGGGAGGGGATAACTTATCTCATGGAAAAAAAAAAAAAAAAAAGACGACTGTTTGTGCTAAAACTGAATGGTTCTTGTAAATACACAGTGATAATGCACTACTGGTTTAAAAAAAAAAAAATTTGGTTATTTATTTAAATAGTTTGTGTTAAAATCTCTTAACTATCAAAAAAATCAGTCCTCCATGTTTGTATTCTAACTGGGTTATACATATGATTTATTGATTTTTTTTTTTTTTGAGGTTTTTCCCAACATATTCATTTACCTATATAGAAATATGTTTATGGGAGTTACTGCTTTTTTAAAATCTGCTATTCGTATCTGAGCAGTCTAATTTCAAACGCTTTGTTAGCTAGGACATGACAACTTGGAAAGTAAGTAGTTCCTTTTTCTCCAACATTTTTGAGCCTTACATTGACCAAGGATTTACTAGCCTGTATCAGAAAAATGTCTGCATTCCAAGCCTGTGCCTAACTTCTCTCTTGGGTCATCTGAATACCTAATTTTTCCACCCAAAAGTTTATTAAGTCCCACCCCCACCCCCCCAAAAAAAATTGATTTGAATTGTGAGTGGGTATTATGGTTTTTTAATATTTCATGACTATCTTTAGAAGGAGGAGTACTCTTGGTCAGTAACCAATATACTGTAATTTAAGGTTCTTCTGATTTGTCAGCATAATGTTTCCTTCTTGTAAGTACTGAGTCATTAAATGGTTAATAAGTTACCAGATGAATTACAGATTCTGTTTTAATTTAAAAAAAAAAAAAAAGTTGAGGGTACTAAAGTAGAAGTGTAACAATTGCTGTTCAATGTATAACAGGGCGCTTTGAAGAAGAATTTATCAAAATGCGTATGGAGAGACTACAAGCTTGGATGACGAGGATGTGTCGCCATCCTGTTGTCTCAGAAAGTGAAGTTTTCCAGCAATTTCTCAATTTCCGAGATGAGAAGGTAGGAAATAAAGTTCACGCTTAGACTGAGATTGAGGAATTGCTCCCCCCCGCCCCCGCCCCGGTCCCCCTTTGAACTAAGAGTTCAGCTTTGTAGCCTCCTCATTTGTCTGCCCCCCTGTGGGCAGTAGTGACGGGCTGAGAACTGCTGGGTTTACCAACTAACTCATCTGATCGATCAAAATGAGGCATAAAGTTGCTGGTGTGAAATGCTATATGCCATTCCAACAGAGATGTGCTCTTTAAAGTAGCTTTGTTGCCAGTCTTTTAAGGACAGTTTGTGTCCTCCAGCAGAATAGGAACGTATGTAGCACCTCTTTTGGCTGTTGCCATGATCTCTCTCTGTTGGACTTACTAATTACTGCGGTCCTCTGATTGGTACTGCTTTGCTAACAGAAGCTACTTTGTGGCGGATCTAGGATGGGTCTGATCCTGTATTATATTTAAAAACATCCCCCCCCAACAGTTTCCCTGGAATGGGTTGTAATAGCGTTACGCTGCAGTCTTACCTGATATAACCAGCCCTTTTTATTCCCATGCCCCTCCCCAGCATTTTCTTACGCTTTTTTAAGAAGTTTTAGTATCTTCACCTTCAGTAAATAATGGTTTCTTCATGACTGAATTCCAGCTCTGTTACTAATTTGGATATCTACTGATGAGGAAGTAAACAGGAAAACTGCTACTTTCTCCTCAAAATAATCATACTTCTAAATACACATAGATTTTGCTGAAAAAGTAAATGTTCCTTGGAGGTTTTTAAGACTAAACTGCGTGAAGCCCTGAGTAACTAAGGTCACAGCTGACCATTTTTGAGTACGAGGTTGGACTGCAAACCTCCTGAGGTCACTTCCAACCAGAATTATTCTGTGGTCCTGTAAATAGAGGCTTAATATAGTGAAATGCTATTTGGATGGTCATTGGAGAGTTGTATAATTGTGCTAGTTAGTCAGCAGTTCTTAGTAGCTAACTTATGGACTGACATAAACAGAACGGATGTTGCAATACATGTGGAATTTTTAACCTTTTTATCTGTTCCCACTAAAAACTTAGTATGGCAATTGCATAATAATCTCATGATCTTCTTGAGCAGCTTCTGATATCAGCACTATCACATGTGCAGAGACAGCTGAATATAATTGCTCTTACACTGTATTTCAATAATATACAAAAGTATCTGTTTACCCCAGAATCTAGAAAACAAAGTGCATGAGGAGGAGGGAGGGGAAACTCTAAGAAGCCTTGGCCCCACTGAAACTTTCATTTAAAAGGTTTTATTCTGTGGGTGGTCTGTTGGTTAACTGTTCTCCTAAACGTTTCATTCACTGCTTAAGTACATGCCCTTAAAGATGCATGAACAGTGGTGATCGAACTTTGTCTTTTTTTTTTTTTTTTTTTTTCCCCCTTCAGGAGTGGAAAACTGGAAAGCGGAAGGCAGAAAAAGATGAAACTGTAGGAGTCCTGATCTTTTCTACAATGGAACCAGAAGCTCCTGACTTGGACATGGTAGAAATGTAAGGTGGTTTCTTTTTGCATGGACATCATGCATCTGGATATACAACAGATACTGAGCTAATATAAAACTATAATAGTAAACGTGCGCATATATTCATGGATTTGAAGAGGTACTCATCAAGGCAGGGCTGAAAAATTGTTTGAATATGAGATTTTCATATCAACCCCTCCAAAACTTGGTGCAACTCCATGTAATGTCTCTTTGACTTCAGTGGCTGAATACTGATCCTAAAAAGATTTATGCAAAGCTAGTTGATGAGATGGAGTACTGGCAGATCCTATGGAGTTATGTTTTGTATTGCTATGGAAGTATATTTTGATCTTTAATCCTTCAATTGTGAACAGTTCCAAAGTGTGCTAGATTTACCAAGTAGCTTAGGATAACTGTAGGTGGACCATCAAGGAAAACAATTTTTCTGTAAAATACTTGTATATAATGCACACACAGTATGATTCTAATATCTGGAATCCATGGAAAGCTATTAAAAATGAAAAGTGACTTAAATTATCAAATTTCATTTTAAATGGGTTACTACATTTTTGGGGTATCATTCTGGAAGTCCAAATGGATATATTTATTTTATATATGTATATGTTATATAGACATACACTTCTTTATATATAGTTCTCTTGGTGGTAGACCTTTAGGGTTTCATAGAGTGAAAGACTGGATTTACTCTGCAGCCTTTATTTCACTCCTTTAGGCTTAATCACTTTTCTTAGAAGATATGTAGAATGCATGACATGCTTTGCTTGCTGTTTTAGAACATAGAAACTTGGATAATGTTTTGTGTCTGAAACTGTGGATAAACTAGATGAAGTGTTTATAGTGGCAAAGCAGTAGTGTACCTATACCTGGAAATATTCCTGCACAGGCTTTATTCAAGTGATGCAGTGCATATTAAGATGCATATAATAGCTGTGTGGTAGCAGCTCTGTACTAGTAAAAAAGAGGGACATTTTTAGGTCACATCCACACTGTATTCCAGTGCCTGGGAACATCTCAGGGTGCTGTTAAAAAAAGTGTGTATGAATGTAGTCTTGAAAGCCATTACTCCTGTAAGTGGACAAACCAGCTTGTTTGATAGTTCTTAGGTTCTTCAGTCAAAAGATGCTTTTTACTGAAACAATTTTGCTAGTACTCTGACAGCCCTGTATCATCCTAGTTTTCATCAGAGGATGGTAACCCTGTGCTAGTTCATGAACTTTTTCTGTGATCATGATACCGTAAAGTATGAAGTACAGAAAATTAAAAAGGATGGCTTGCTACTGGGAAAATTGAAGTAAAACAAGGGCCTCTTGGAAAGCCCAGGTTTTGATTCTGTGCAAGTAACTCTTCAGGTAGGGTTTCCAGCTGAGGAAGGAGGTGCTGGTGGGGACGTAGGAGCCTCTAAGTGGTTTGGCCACAGCTGGAGCTGCTGCCCTGGCTCTGGGGAGTCGCTTAGCGTTGCCTTGCTGTGAGAGCTGTCTCATACAGGCTTCAGCTGAGAGCATTTGTAACATCTGATGCAGTTTGAATAATGCTCCTTGAAAATTAGAAAATATATGTCTAATTTTCTTTTGTAGAGTTCACAGAGCATTGCTGTGTATGCAGTGCTATGTTAATGAAAAGCTTTGATAGGTGCATGAAAACATGCTTAAAGAGGGGTAAAAATGCACATACTAATTCAGGATTCTCTTTTGAGCATCACTGATTTTTTTTTTTTTCTCCTCTCTATAACACAACGGAACGCAATGGTATATATAACTTTATATATATATAATACAAAGTTTTATATGTAT